GGTATAACTTTATACTTATACAACCTATACCTTATCTAGAACGTGGTTAATTCTTTAGAGTCCAAGTCTATTTATATATAGTAGAAGGCCTATTAGATATCTAGCTTAGTAAATACCTTAGCCTTAGATAGTTATTAAAGGGTCTCCTTAATAAGGGGTAAAGGGTAATAATCCTTTTATATAATATTATTTAGGCGTTAGTAGTCTATATAGAATTAGAGACTGCTATTAGGTTTCTTAATAAATAAGATAGATATAGTAAAAGGAGCCTAGCTAGCCTTAATAAAGCTCTTATCTAAGTTATTAATAATATATTCCTAAGTAATCTTAAGTTTATAGGTTAACTGCTAATAAAGAGACTTATGCTCTAAGGTATGGTTTAGATCCACTTTAATCCTATAATCCTATTTCTTATAGGTAGAGAGTATATTTAAGGCGTCTTTTAAGAATACGTCTAAGTAGTTATAGTATTATAATAGGAGCTTCTATTTTATCTATTATTCCTCTATCTTACCCTCCTTCTAGATAAGAGGGTCTTTCTAATATTTATCTAGAATCTTATTAATCTTATATAGACTAGTCTAAAAGACTTTATAGTCCTAACGCTTTAGGTATAGGTTTATTATAGGAGCTCTAATTAGGCAGATATTAACTAACTCCTCCTTTATAGAAGGGGATAGCTATAGTAGTAGAACTAGAAGCATATGCTTTAGGATTTATTTTAGGGTCTTTAGTTTTTATAGTTATTTTTATTTTAATTTTATAGTTTTAATTTCTAGCAGCTAATCTTAGTAATTAGTATCCTGCTAGTGCTATAGTAATAGGGTTATATTTTATAGTAAACTAATATATATAATTAAGATATAGTTCTAAGAGCTATTATTAGAAGCCTTATCTTTTTATATTAGTTATTTATTAGTATAATTAAGAAGGACGTAGGAGTAGGCTAGCTATTTCTTTCCTAGAATAAGGTTATAGCCTTTTAGGTTTAAAATAAGAAAAGGGATCTATTACTAGGTCCTACTAGTAATTTATAAAGTTAGATAAATAAAATAGGTGATTTATTAGGTGGACGTGCTATTATACCCTTATACTCTATATAGGGTAGGAAGAGGCTAATATAGAGCGTTATAAAACTACTTAGTGTATTTTATAAAGGTGTTATTAATAAAGGTATATCCTATTACTCTAGTATTAATTAGTATAGAGGTTTTAATTCTAAGTCTATTATTTGCTATTATATATAAGACCTTAAATGCATTCCCTCTTAACTATTAACTAAGATTAAACTCTTATATATTAATCTTAAATATTCCTAGGTAGAAGTCTTACCTTAAAGTTCCTTATTTCCTAAGTCTTCTAGCTCCTTAATAGAAGTGATCTTTCCTTTCTAGAGATAGTTATATACTAAGTATTCTATCTTCTTATACTTAAAGCAAGCGCTAAGTTAGAAGAGTAGTTACTTGCTAGAGTTATTATACTAGAGATATCTATTAGCACTAGTAGTAGGTATAATATAAGAGGTAGTAGTAGTAGGGACTAGCATAGAGGTTATAACTATCCTATCTATAAGAGTATAGGATAAAGCTAGGGATAAAGATAATCTATTAGTATAGCCCTTAACCTAATTATACTTTCCTATAATTAGCTATAGCTAGGAATTAATATTAGTATAGTAGCAGGCAAATTTATATATAGATAGCTTTTCTAAATACTTAAAAAGGACTTTATCTTAAAGATTAAAGGATAGCTTCTTATTTAACTTATATAGCAGTTTAGAGAAAGTAATCTAAGCCTCTTTAGATAAGTAGAGGAAGTTAGTATAGAAGATATAGAAGGCCTTATTACTTTTTATATATAAGTTCTTAAAAGATTATTAGGCCTTATCCTTTTAGTTAGGGTCCTTATAGATCTTATATAAGTGTGCTAATAGCTCTTTAATATTCTAGTATTTACTTAAGGCGCTAGGATAGAGTTAGGGAGAGGTATACTTTATAGCATCACTTAAGAGATAGCTTACTATATAGTCTAATTTTAGGCTGTTATTTAAGAAGAAGTCTATATTACTATAAAGTTTTCCTTAGATATAGATAATCTAGTCCTTAAAAGTAAGGGCGTCTCCCTTCTATTCTAAGAATAGAAGTAAGTTAGGAAGCTTATAAGATTAGGGCGCTTATATATATATAGATGCTAGTTTATAAGCCCTAGTATTTATAGCTCTCTTCTAAAGCTTAACTTAATTAGTATACTTTTAGATAGTAATATTCTTATCCTCTAATGCCTATTAGCTTGCCTAAAGAGTAGTAATAGTATCTTCTAGTTATTAGTTAAGCTTATATAGCTCTTTATTAGTAGTAAAGGTCTAGAGTACTTATTTGCAGGTATCTTTATAGAGGCTAATTATTTTATTAATTTAGGAAAGAAGATCTCCTACCTTAAGGTTAGTATCTAGGTTCTATTATAAATACTTAATATTCTATTTACTATATATAATAGTAGTAAAGGTTAAGTATTAGGACTTAGATTTAGCTCTTAGTATCTTCTTCTTCTTCTCTCTATTAGAGAGAGTATAGTTATTATCTATCTCTTATTTACTACCTATAGCAGTTACTAGGTAGTTATTATTATTATCTATTACTAGTCTTAATAGACCTATAGAGCTAGTAGTGCTAGGGCAAGGAAGTAGTAGGATTTATTTATTAACTATAGTATCTAACTAGGTTAGGTTTATAGTATTATTTATTTAGGGTATTAATTAGTTAGGTTTATACTATTTTAAGAGGTAGGTTTTAGTCTTTTATTATGCTTTATATTAAGTATATTTAATTTAGAATCCTTACTAGGATTAGTTAAGTGGAGAGCTTAGAATATTATTATAATTATAAATCCTTAAGGGCATAGCCTAGTATAAGGTTAAATCAAATATAATTCTAAGCTAAAGAGAAAAGAAAGAAAGTCTAGAATATAGATTATAAGTGCAAATATATATGCACTCGGCTAATTAGCCCGTGGCTGGGAAAGGTGGCTGGTGGTCGGGTGGCTGGTTAAGCGAGAGGCTGGTGCCACGCCGAAGTGCCGACGTGCCGATGTCACGTGATGTGTCATGTGACCAGATCCGTGACATTGCCCACAGGATCCCCACTTCTGTTTTTAACTATCCGGAAGGCATAGAACTAGTTAAGGACGAAATACGGACTTTTAATAAGGGTCTAACCCCTTTAGGACAGCTATACTAGATCACATCAGCCGAAAATCGCCTAAAACAGATAGCTGGATCCGTGGCAATTGCATTTGCTACGCCTAAAGAGGCTAGCGCGGCCGTCTGAAATAGGCTATATATAGCTAGCATTTCCATATAATGCGAAAAACACTATATGATATATCCTACCGCCTAATATATTAGGTGCTAGGGCTATAGCTATTTAGAGCACTACTACTGCAAAGAGGCTAAGTGCCAGCTATATAGTAAAGCCTATCAGACGAAATAACACATATGCTCTATATATAATGCTAAGGGTAGATATAATCACCTGATATATAAATGCGCCAATTGCAGAGGTCTACATGCAGCTAGCTCCGCTTTATATAAAGTCTATTAGAGCATCTACTTAAAGGCTCCTATATCCTCTCTATAATAGACGCTAGCACTAAAATCCTCTAAGTGAATCTGAATTCAGCCGCTTATAATACGGAATCCGCGCTATAAGTAGCAATTAAGCTAGATATAGACATTATACTAGTTTAAGAGCCTCTTATTATACGCGATTCAGATGGAATACAATCAATTTCCTACCTCTTATTCACCTAACTCCTCCTAAATAGGCCTAGCCTAGATATCATACCACGCATAATAGCTTATATTGCTAGGTCATACCGCCCTAGGGTCGTCCTAGCCTCAGATTCGCTAAATGACTTAGACTTCTAAGTCCTAGACGTTATAGATCAAGATCACGTAATTAAGATTTATAATATTTATAATAAAAAGCACCAATTACCTGATTCGGATACCTATACGCTAGCCTAATGCCTATGGCAGCTCTTACCACCTCTTAATTCAGTCTTTTGCAGGGACTTTAATGCCTATAACCTATAGTGGGACCCCTTATATAAGGCATGTAATAAAGAAGGTAATATGCTAGTAGACTGGATTAACTACTACGATTTAGCCCTCTTAAATACCCCTAGTATTAGCACCTTCTATTATCTGTATATAGCTAGGCCGATAAAAATATTAACCTTATACTAGCGTATTAATCTATAGCTAATTACATTTAGGACTAGGCTATAGTGGATAATATAGGCTTAGACCATTTTAGGATTACATTTACTATTAACAGTTCCTAAATAGGACTAGCAGATCTATAAACCACCCGTTTTAATATAAAACGGGCAAATTAGACTAAATTTAGGAAAAAACTTTTCTGCTAGCTATTACTGCTCTAAAATGAGCTATAGGCCTATAGCTATATTTTAAGCTCTAATTTAAGCTTAAAAAGCTTAGAATAAATCAATGCAAAACGTAGCTATAAAGTAACCCTAGACCGTCTAGATGATATAGTGGAACGTTATACTAGCGCTATTTTATATGCTGTATATAATGCTATACCCTAAATCCAGTTAGCGTTACATGCTAAGCCTTAGTGGAACAATTTACTAAAATCACTTTAATGCGACATAAATCAGGCTAGAGAGGCCTCTAAGTAAGCGTTTTCCAGCTAATTAAATAAGCGCTATACTAGCGCCCGCAATATATACTTTTAGGCTATTAAGACGGCTAAAAAGGATCACTAGAACTAGTTTTTAGAAAAAGAGGATTCTAAATCGATTTTTAAAGCCTTAGCCTATACGAAATTAAGGCGGTTAGAGCTAGTCCTAAATCTGAAGCTTTCTGCCACCTAATTTGCAACTATATTTACTACTAAATGCGACCTCTTCCGCTAGACGCTCTTCCCTCCACCTCCTAAAACAGCTAGCCCAAATTAGACGTTATACACCGCCTCAGACTAGTGGCAATAGCTAAAGCTAGCACTAGATAAAGTGAAGTAAGCCTGTTCTAGTGAAATTAAATCCACTAGCCCCGGCCCGGACTATATTACCTAGACTATTATTACCCACGCATATTTAGCATGCCCTTCCTAGATTTCACTCCTTTTTAAGACGCTTGTAAATACTAGCTATTATCTAAAGTGCTAGCGCCAAGCAAATTGCGCTATACTACGAAAGAATAACAAGCTAGACTATAAATAGCCTAGCGCGTATTAGCTGATTTCACTTTTAAATTGCCTAGGTAAAGTAAGTAAAAGGATCCTAGCTAAGCGACTAGCTTACTTAGCTGAAACCACACCAAATCTGCTATATCCTAGCTAAATTAGTGGCTGACTTAAAAAGTCAGCTATAGACGCAGGCGCTATACTAGCGGATTATATCTATATAAATCAGCTATGAAACAAAATTACTAGTACGCTTCTACTAGATATAAAAGGGGCATATAACCACATATCTAAGAACTAGCTACTTATAATTCTTAAGGATTTAGCCTTTCCCGATTTAGTTATTAAGTGGGTCTCATCCTTTATAAGCGGGCGGTCACTTAAGCTTCTATTTAATAGATAATCAGATAAAAACCAGCCTATTTAGACTAGAATCCCACAAGGAAGTCTAATTTCGCTTATCCTTTTTCTAATCTATATATAGGGCCTATTTAGGTTATATATAGTTAAATTTATCTCTTATATAGATAATATTACTCTCTCTTATATATTAACTAGCCCCTGCAAAAATGTTAAGATACTATAGCTAGTAGCTAAAGAGCTATTTCAGCTAGCTAGTAAAAACGTAATTCAATTTAACTTAAAAAAGTCTAAACTGATTCACTTCAGCATAGGCGAACGCGCTAAGCTAGCGTCCCTTATACTCCTAGACGGGACTATAGTCCCCCTAAAGCAGATAGTTAAGTGGCTTGGCATTCACTTTAACGCTCTATTACAATTTAAGGAGCATATCACTATCTGCACTGCTAAGGCTAAGTCCGCATTTAGATGTATATCTAGGCTAGCTAATAGCAAATAAGGGCTTAGTCCCACCGCTTTTAGACAGCTATACCTAGCTTATATTACTAGCATATCTAACTATGCATTACTAATTTAGTAGCAAGGCCAAGTATATACAAAAGACCACCTACAGCACCTCCAAAATTTAGCACTACGCAAAATCCTAGGAACTTTTCGGACTAGTCCAATTCAGGCCATAGAGGTGGAAGCTAGCCTCCCACCGCCCGCAATACAGCTAGACATAGCTACACGCAAATACGCTTTTCAGCTAGCTAAGCTAAGTCTAGACTATCTAGTAAATCGCTAAATTGCTAAATCTAGCTACTTAGGATATAGACTTTAGATAATTGCTAGGACTATTACACCCCTGCTTAGTAGTAAAATCGAACCTATATATCACTTCCACTTTGCCCCTTAGAACCGCTCTATCCCCTAGGACATATAAATTGCTAAATTGCTAAAAGAGGAAACTGCTACGATACACCGCTGGCAAATACGGTTATAATTGCTAAATCAGGTGTCATACTACTTAGACAGGTCGTAAATGCCTAAAAGCACTAGAATTAGAGTAGGACTAGCAGGCTATAAATGCGCTAGTCCCCCTTTTATACGACTAGCCCGAAATATAGGACCGCACCAAATCGTCTATAATAGAGAGCTAGAAGGCATTGCCCTAGCATTTAAAGATATGATAAGACTAGGCCTAAATAGGGATATTCGGATATACGCAGATAACTAAGCAGCCATTTATAGGCTAGCGCGGCCTTCCAATAATCCGGGCCAAATTCACTAGTTACGCGCTATTGCAGCCGCCACCAAAATAGCCCAAAACGGATCCACGCTAGCAATAGAGTAGGTCCCTAGACACTAAGATATCAATAGAAATAAAGAGGCAGATAAACTAGCCAAATTAGGGTCCAAATCACTTCCGACCACCCAGACCGCCCTAGCTGCCCATATAAGCTATGCCTATATAGGCATAAAAATCAACTAAATCTGATAGCATGCATGGGCAAATGCTCTAGCTAGCAGTAAAGGCTACTACTTCGACTTTTTTAACCTATGAATTCACTCTTAAATACAGCTTCCCAAAACGGCTAGATCCACTGCTAGCGCCTTTTTCCAGCTTAAGCTATAACACGGCTACTTTAGGACATACCTAAAACGATTTAATAAAACACTCACTAATTACTACATATATAGTCACAAGCCTGAATTACCACAGCATCTTATACTACAATGCCCTAAATATAGTAAAGAACGCAAAAGACTAAAAGACAGTGTCCCATTTAGGCTTAGCCTACGCTCCCTCTTTAAGACGAAAATCAGACGCTAGCATCTACTAACCTTCTTGGGTGAAACGGGTATCAGTACCCGCAAATGGCGGCTTAAACGGGCAGAATTCGATGATAACTAAGCATATACTATAGTATACGGCTTAGAAGTCTCACCGCCCACTCCCACTAACCAAATCCATCGATTTTTCCCAATTTCGGCCCAGAATGCATAAGAGCGCGATTGCAGCATAAGAAACTGCTATGCTAGCTGACCGCCTTCGCTTTCTGCCACTCCCTGATTCACTTTTCATTTATTAGTTATGCGTTTTTAGGGCCCTGGGGGATTTTTATTATTATGGCGTTATTGCTTTATGGACCTAGTCAGGATTTCACGAATTCACCCATAACTTCTGCCACAACCGTCTAAATCGAACGATTGCGCCAGCATATTGACCGCCTTGATCTCAGCTTTCTTTTGAGCCTACCCTCGTGTTTCTCACTAGGAAGATGAGTGAATGCGGGTCATCCGAAGGGTTTTTGACCCCGAAGGCCTCTCAACCGCCTCCTCCTCCCTCCTCCCCCCCCCGCCCTCC